GATCCCAGGCAAGCTGGCCCCAAAGTCCATGCTTTCACCGCTTTTCTCTCCTCTGCCCCTTCCCAGCCCAGGAGGCTAATATAAACCAGGGGCATGAACGCTGGCTTGAGAGTCAGCTCCCCTTTGCCGTTCCTAGCCAGCGGCTGCTTAACAACACCTGGGTGAGCTCTGCTTCCTCCCTTAAAATGAAGATGAAAATCGCGCCCACTTCCAGGATAAAGGCCAGGATTCCTAATCACATAATTTGGGGTCTGGGTCTCATATAAAATTAAAGTACACACATGGTAAAACAAAATAACCCAAACAGGACACGGTAAAAAGTGAGTCCCCGCCCTAACTGGTTTGGCTCAGTGGATAGAGCATCGGCCTGCGGACTGAAGGGTCCCAGGTTCGATTCCGGTCAAGGGCATGTACCTTGGTTGTGGGCACATCCCCAGAAGGGGGTGTGCAGGAGGCGGCTGATTGAGGTTTCTCTCTCTTTGACGTTTCTAATTCTCTACCCCTCTTCCTTCCACTCTGTAAAAAAAATCAATAAAGTATATTAAAAAAAAAAAAAAGTGAGTCCCCTCCTACTTCACACCTTGAACTCCTCTCACCAGAGGTAACCATCATCAGCATGCTTGGTATCACCGTTTGGGAATTTTCCACACACAGAGAAGCTGTACAGGAGCCGGTTAAGGACATGGGCTGCCTGTGGCTCTGCAGCTTACTGGCTGTGTGGCGCTGCCTTTTGCTCACAAACAAATGCTGCAAGACACATCCTGTTCACCTGTCATTTGGCACAAGTGCAAGCATCTCTGTGGGATAAATTCCTGGCGGAGAAATTGCTGGGTCAAACAGTAGTGCCCTTGTCATTTCAATTAATTTTTGGGTGAGCAAATCCTCGCAGCAGGTGAGGGGAGGGGAAAGAGGCCCACCTAGCAGTGAGGACGAGCGGGAGCCGACATGTGGTGTTCTGACTCTGAGGTCCAGGGAGGGCCATGTCTGCCCCAGCAACTTGGTGGATGTGGCAGCTCCCCAGGCCCCTGGCCAGGCAGATGGAGGGTTTAATTTTATCCAGATTGTCCCCATAAAGGCTTGACAGGGAATTGGTTGATGGGATAGAGGAGCAGGAGCCCCTAATGAGCAGCGGCTGCTTAACAACATGCCAAAGCAGACACGATGTTCCTTTGCCAACGTCCGCCATGGCAGCCTTGCCCCGGCTCTGATAGGGAACCCCTACGTGCCAATTGGCTTTGCCTTCTTTGAATATCCTTCTAGGCCCCAGCCATCCCAGAAGAGGTAGAGAACAAGGGGTTAAGAGCCCAGGTTTGGAGGCAAGATCAAGGTCTTTTGTCAACTGGAATTGCTGTGTGACTTGGGGCAAGTCCTTTCCCTCTCTGAGCCTCAGAGACTCATGGGACCGGAGGGCTTGGAGGTGCTGAGAGGATTAAATGAAGTCAGACACAGAGAGTGCTTGGTTCCGTGCCTGGCACATGGTCAGAGCCTAAGAAATGGCAGCCCTTTAGATGAAGACCCCACCCCAGAAGGCCCTGGACAAGGTATGTTATACCCTCCCGTTTTACGGAGCATTGCAGCAGTCGCCCCACCACCTCGTGGGATTGTCCCGGATTCCCGGTGCGAGAGATGCACTGTGTGATTTTCGTGTTCAAGTAAGTTTTAAGGCTTTGCCAGGATTAATATTCGGTTTTGTGTCTGATCCAAACGCACAAATGGAGCGTGGGAACCCTCAGATGGGAAGAAGGGGAAGCGCTCAAAGGAAGTTTCCTACGACCTCCTCCTCCCCCGCCTCTCCCCCATCATCCGATGGGGACCTTCCCCCGAGTCCCTGGGGTGGCCACGGGCAGCCCCGGGGCCGCTGGGGCGCGGGCTCGGGGTCGCTGTGGGCCTCTCCGCGCGCGAGCTCTGCCCCTCCCTCCCTCCCTGCAAACTGCGGACAATCGGGAGAGAGTGGGGGGCGCGGAGCACCCGGCCGCGCCCGCCCTGCATTCCGGGGACCCGCCCCGCCCGGGACACACACCGGTCGCCGCCACGCGAACCCCGCGGGCGGGAGGAGGCCGCCGCCCCCCACGCCTCCCGGGCGGGATCCGCGCGGCGGGGACCGGGAGCGCGCGCCGCCGGCGGCCTCCTTGCAGGCGCGTGGGCAGCGCTGGCGGAGCCGGGGCCGCGGGGCTGCCGCCGCGTCCTGGTCCTCGCGGGCGGCGGGAGGCCCGGCCGGGCCCGAGGCGCGGTCCAGGCCCGAGGAGTCTCCCTCCGGGGCTCGCCTGCGGGGCGGGGGAGACGGTTCATTCAAAACCGCGTTTACAGCCCCTCCCCGCGGGCGCTGCACCGCGTCCCCGCGCTGAGCTCTACCCGGCCTCCGGGGGAACCTGGTCGCGTCGCTCAGCCGGGGACTGAGCGCTAGGCGCGGGTCAGCGTCCCCGAGGGGACGTGGCTGGGAAATGGCCAGGAGAGGATTCGAGCCTCGTGGTCGCTCCATTTACACAAAGCGGACCAGCGAGGCCGGCACGGACATCGCCTGAACGTGAGAGCAAGGACCGGGGGTCGGTGGCTTTGGTTCGAATTCCAATCCCGCGTCTTACGGTGTGAGTTTGGTCTGAGCCCCAAGTGCATCCCATAAACTGTTGGATTAATGAGCTGAAGGCCGGACGTGTGAGGGGAGTTGTCCCGCGGGAGGGAGAAGGGGAACTGGAGTCCGTCTTTCTCCCCCACCGCGGGCCTCTGACGCCCCCTGCTGGCGGGGGGCGGGGGGCGCTGGCGAGAGGCCTTTTAGATGCTGAGGCTGCTCTTGGGTGAGGAGGGCGGAGACACCTCAGCAGGGCCACTGCTCTTCTGCCTCTTCACTCCCCACCCCTCCTCCCTCCGCATCCCTCCTTTAAGGTGGTGAAAAGTGAGAGGTGGGAAAATCGAGGACTCATTCCACATCTTGCAAGTAATCAGCTGTGAAACTGGCCTTCCTTTATGGAGCTCCCAGGGCCAGCCAAGCCCTTGACAGTTCTAACAGGAATGGGGGTAAAGAATAAAGACCTAACCACAGGCTGTGCGCTAAACACAGGAGCTGCCAGGACCCGCACTGGCCATTTACAGAGAAACGGCGCCGGGGACCTGGTGTCCACAAAGCAACACTCAGCTTCCCCCAACGGGGACACAGGTCCCACCACCACCCCCGAGTGACAGCCCACCAAATCTCAGCCAACGCTGCCAAGACCTAGTGGGTAATGATGTCACGTAGCAATGCCCAGCTTCCTCTCCCTAGCAACTAGCCTCCTTGGAGTTTCTTCAGCCCAGGAATAGGACTTGCTTTATAGCCAGGTGCAAACATTTCACACTGTAACCAAATGTCTGTGAAGCATTTTCCCGTGCCTCATTTGATCCTCACCGAAGTCCTGGAGTGGGTAGATAGGAGACTCAGTAGAATCCTATTTTCTTTCAGATTTAGAAAGCTTAGAAACTTGACCCGAAAAGAAGTAAGAAATGATGGACCTTGAAAATGACTTCCGGTTTTCTCCCTGTGCAGAATATAGTCAAACACTGCTGCAGTTAAATATTTTACCCTTTGTTCTCCCTGCATGATCTACAATAATAATCTGCTTCGTGCTGATATTTACTGCTGTGTTGCTGACAATTACCTGCAAGAAGTTGGGGTGCCTCACTGGGCCTCTAGTCTTTCATAATAGAAGTCAGAATAGAGGCTGCTTCTGGGAAGGATTTTGACTGGGAAGGGGGCATGGGAACCTTCTTGGGCCCTAGAAATGCTCCCTTAATTTGGGCAGTGGTTTCACAAGTCTATGCATTTGTAAAAACACATTGAGTTGTACACTTATATGCATTGTATGTATGTTATACCTCAATAAGACATTTTTTAAAAAATATATTTTATTGATTTTTTACAGAGAGGAAGGGAGAGAGATAGAGAGTTAGAAACATCGATGGGAGAGAAACATCAATCAGCCGCCTCCTGCACATCTCCCACTGGGGATGTGCCTGCGGCCCAGGTACATGCCCTTGACCGGAATCGAACCTGGGACCCCTCAGTCTGCAGGCCGATGCTCTATCCACTGAGCCAAACCGGTTTCGGCAAGACATTTTTAAGAAGATATTCAAGCAGGAAAAAAGAGTACTAATCAGTATGATCCTCCTCTTAAAAAGAAAATAAAAGAAAAATATAACAACATAGGGCAGCAGTTCTCATCTCAAACTTTTTTCATTGTCTCAGAACCCCTTTACACTCACATTATTGAGGATCCCAAAGAGCTTTTGTTTTTGTGGGCAATATCGATACTTATCATGGATATTAAAATAGAAATATTTAAAACTCAATTGCATTAGCCATCAAAGTGATAACGTCAGCATGTCATGTAACCTCTGGAAAACTTTACTGTCCATTGTGAGAGAGTAAAAAAGACAAATAACATCTTACTGTTATTATGAAAGTAATTTTGAGCTCGGAGCCTTGGAAAACCCTGGGGTCCCTAAATCTCACTTTGAGGACCGCTGACAGGAGGCGGGGGGCGGGGGGGGGGGGTAGGGGAGACACACCACATGATAAATTATTCTCTCTCGGTGATGGATTATAATTTATTTTTATATGCTTCTTCGTGCTTTTCAATTTAAAAAATGGAAAATAGGCCCTGGACGGTTTGGCTCAGTGGATAGAGTGTCAGCCTGGGGACTGAAGGGTCCCAGATTTGATTCCGGTCAGGGATGCAGACTCAATCCCCAGTGTGGGGCGTGCAGGAGGCAGCCAATCCATGATTCTCTCTCATCATTGATGTATCTCTCTCTCCCTCTCCCTTCCTCTCTGAAAACAATAAAAAAAAAATTTTTTTAAGGAAACTATAACGACCACTGATTGGTTTTGCAAACAAAAAACGAGACTCATCTCCGTGAGACTGTTGAAAAGCCCAAACATAGTTGGCGGTAAGGAAAAAGCAAGCCGAGCCCTAACCTGCAAGTAAGGGCCGGATTTCCGGTGTCAGTCCTGGCCTGTAGGTTGAGAGCGCCACCGTCCAGCTTTCAAGAGGGAATATGTACGTGCATGCGCGACTGTGTTGTAATGGAATAGAAAGTAAGCGTCCTGAGGGCCCACGCGCAGCAGCTGCATGCTCCGCAGGACTGCACACCCCGGCGCGGACCATAACTCCCCATCACAGCCACCAGCCGCCCAAACGCCGAGCCCAGCGCCCAAATCAGGCTGAAACTGCAAACGCGAACGGAGGCGGGGCTTGAAGGAGACTGACACTGGGCTCGGCCTCTCAGCATTACAGCTCCGCCTTTCTAGCCTACTTCCCTCTCTGAGTGGTTGAAGACTGCGGAGGTGATTTCCCATTGGCCACCAGCAGACACCAGCTTTGCGCGTCAGGACGCCGGAGCGGAAGTCGCCATGGTGCGGTTCAAACACAGGTAAGCAGCGCGTGGCTCGCCCCTCGTGCCTTTCCCTGCGCGGTGCCCGCAGCCCTGGCCTCTGCTCACCTCCCTCTCGTCCGCCCCAGGTACCTGCTCTGCGAAGTGGTGTCTGACGACCCCCGCTGCCGCCTGAGCCTGGATGACCGAGTGCTGGGCGGCCTTGTACGGGACACGGTCGCCCGCCTGCACGGGACTTTCGGCGCGGCCGCCTGCTCCATCGGCTTCGCGGGTACGAAGATGCTGGGGAACCCAGAGGGCTTGGGGGCCGGAGGAGGGAGAAGGCGCACAAGCGGCCCACGGAGCTGCCAAGTCTGGTGCACCATCCACGAAGTGTTTTTTGTTTTAATATATTTGTTATTCAGAGAGGGAGAGGGAGAAACATCGGTGATGAGAACCGGCTGCGTCCTGCACGCCCCCTACTGGGGACTGACGGGACCTCCCGGTTCGTAGGTCCAGGCTCAACCACTGAGCCAGGCGGCTGGGCCACGAAGTGGTCCTTTTCAGGCGTCTGGGACTCGGAGTCCCAGGTGTGGACAGTCCAAAGTTAGACGGAGAGCTAAGACAGAAGGCAGTGGAACTTTGGGCAAGAATCCCCTGTACCTATTTGACATGTGTATATTGGTGATTGCTACTGAATTTAATAGGATGACTAGAATTAAATGAGGGGAGGTGTGTATAGTTCCTATGAAGTTAGGTGGCTGGTTACATTAATATCACATGGGAAAAAGTCAGAATTAACCCTGAAAAACCCTTACACACAACACACAATTGTGTGTATGAAAATGAGGAAGAAGTGGTGCCTCCCAGGAGCCACACAAATCTATATTCGTTCCCTTTTACTATATGCTTAAAAATGGGATCCTGGGAAATTATATGCACACTAGGGGCCCAGTGCACGAGTTTGTGCACCTTGAAAGGAACTGTGGGCCGCGAGGCTGTGGTGGGCACAGGGGCGGGTCTCGGCCCATCCTCCGCTGCCCCCCCCCCCCCCCCCAGCAGCTGCGCTCCCACCACTGCTGCTGCTCCTACGCACTGACAGCTCCAGCCCCACTCGCACCCGCTGACTGCGTGGAGCAGTTGGGCCAGCACCAGCAGCAGATGCAAGGGGGTGCAAGCAGTGGCTGCTGCTCCAATCACCCCTCAGGAGCAGGGGGAGGTGGAAAAGCCCTCAGAGGTGATTGGGGCCCGCAGCCGCGCACGCACCCACTGATGGCGCCATGCAATTGGGACTGGCACCAGGCTCCAGCAGCGGGTACGAGCGGCAGCTCCGGTACCAGCTGCGGGTGTAAACGAGGCCAGCACCAGCAGTGGGTGCGAGCAGCGGCTGCCAGTGCTGGCAGCAGGTGCAAACACCAGGCAGGACCACAGTGCACGGGAGCGAAGAATTTTCAGTATCACCAGAGGCTCGCCCCAATGACAGCAACCAGCACCCCACCTTGGTCTGGCACCCCCACTCACCTCCTCCACCATCCCACCACGGCCGACACCCACCATGTTCCGCGTGCACCCCCTGGTGGTCAGCGCACATCCCATGCATAGTGACGGGTTATTTGGTTGTTCTGCCGTTGGATCTATTTGCATATTAGAGTTTTATATATGTATAGATAGAAGATAGGCACAATGGTACATCAGTGAAACTCAGCTGGCTACAGAGCCTAGCTGCAGAGCCTTTCTTCAGCCAAGGGTTTGAATCTCCACCTTCCCACCCCGAACTTATTAGCCAGTCAGTGAATTAGAAGAACATTCAGATTTCTAAATTCATCAGTTCTGAGTGGTGTGCAAGGCACTGGCTATTGTCTCTCCCCCTTCCATAAATGACAATCTTTTCCTTCAGGAATCTGTTCTTATTCAGTGATGTGTCCCAAGAGCCACTACTTTGAACAGTTGTTGGCACTTAGTAGACTTAGTTACCCTAAGACCTTTGACCTGCTGCTTAGAATCCAGTTTCCCAAAATTTTTTCGCTGCTGTAGTGCGATACCTCAATGCCTATACTGGAATAGTGCTACTTCGATGCCGAAAGGAATTCTATCAGCTTGTGTGGTCAGCTCTTCCCTTCATCACACACTTGGAGAGCAAAGGACACCGCTACCCGTGTTTTCTCAACACCTTGCACGTGGGAGGTAGGCTGCATGGGGTGTGGCTGATTTTCGGTGGGTGTCAGGCTCAGAGTTCAGTCATGTCTGGTGGGTGGGTCTTCCTATCCTGCCAAGAGCAAGATGCTTTCCCCTAGCTCTGCAAGTCTCTGAGGCAGACACCTGTCGCCACAAAGCTCTCTCATGTGCCAGGTACAATTAGAACATGTCAGAAGTTCCTGATTCAGTACAACAGGAGACAGCTGTTGATCTTGTTGCAGAACTGCACTGATGAAGGTAAGCAACACTAACACACTGCGTACTGAGCAGACTGGCCCCCGGCTGTCAAGAACTTTTCACCCATGCTGCCTGCCTTTCTTCAGGAGAGCGGGAAGCTATCCAGAAGTCCGTCACAAGAAGCTGTTTGCTGGAGGAGGAACCGGGTGAGGAGGAGCTTTCAGATGGTGAGGAGGCTGCTGAAGCAATGGAATGAACCTCTGCGGGCTGCACTGTGCCCAACCCTTGGGGCCCACTTATTGGAACAGGGCATTCTGGGAGGCAGCTGGATCTACATTTCTAGGATCTGCTTTCTCCATCCTAGAATGGATGTCACTCAGAGTCCCGGACACATCTGGTAGATTTGTGACTTCTGCCTCAACCTGCCCTTTCATCTCAGGCTGGAACGCCCCCATCCCCCCAGAGTTCCTGACCCTGGATTTCTGAGCGGCTTTCGGTTAAGAATGACAGGCTAAGCCCAGCTCACACTCATAGTAGTTGATACTTTTACCTATTTATAATAAGTATGTCCAGCTGACCTGACTTGAACTTTAAAAAAAAAAAAAAAGCTGCCCTGTCCAGGCAGCTCAGTTGGTTAGAGCATCGTCCCGATACGCCAAGGTGGCAGGCTCGATCTCCAGTCAAGGAACATACAGAAATCAACCAATGAATGCATAGATAAGGGGAACAAAAATCGATGTTTCTCTATTTTTCCCCTCTCTCTAAAAACTCAATGAATTAAAAAAATAAAACAGAAAGCTCACATTGCTTGTGCAGGTAATTTATTGCAACTGTTTGCCTTCACATTCTGTTAGACCTAGAGGTTACTTTATTAAGCAGCAAAAGAAGTCACATCACTCAAATTTAGCTCAAACCAAGGCATAAGGCTACTCTAGACAACAGAGGCAGTGGGCAGCCCTGCCGCTTTCAGACCTGTCCTGCTCCACCTCCAGGTGTGCTGGACGCCTGCTCCTACAACTCGGGCTACTGTCACTTTAAACAACTTTGATTTAAAGGTTGGAAGGTCCTAAGGCTACCTTTAGTGAGTTATGTCTTTCCTTGCCAAACAGAAGCCATGTGGAAGAGGCAAAACCCTCCATCATACATGCAAGTGCAGCCTAGGTCTAGCCCCAGAGCCTGGCCATGTCAGACGAAAAACTGCAATTCGAGCTGAGTATCCTAAATCCATTTTATTCCATCCCTCTGTTTCTTCAGAGGACTGGACAGACAGAAGAGATTCAACTACTTTTAAGACTCACTGAAAGGTGCTGAAACCAGGATGCCCTGGCACATGACGTCAGAGCACAATAGTGCTATTTAACACTGTTCTGGGCTGCTTTTCCAAGGGATGTTGAAGGGACTTGTTCATTTAAGGTTGAGAAAAACTAATTACACATGGTCAAAAAGACTAACCTATAACAAACTAAAAACCTTGGCAGGAAGAGATCTCATGAGTGTCAATACTTTATTTTGGTGTAAAGACGGGAAGCTGGAAAATACACTGTATTTAAAATCTTGGTTCCCCCTCATATTGTGGAAACCCCCTCCCCCCAGAACTAATCTGTTCAAACTCAGATACTTAAAAATTACAGCAGCAAAACAAAAGCACGGAAAAAAAGAAAACCAGCTGGAGAAGTAGCCTGGGCCGGTAGTGTCACTTGGTGTGGACGACTGAGGTGCTGAACAGGAGCTTCTGTTTCTGTTTTTTTCTTTTCTTTCCTCCTCTCTCTTCTAAATGGAAACAGAAAGAGAACTTAGCTTAGAATGCCACCCCTTGTCCCCTGGCCAGTTTTCATTACTGAGAGTGACAATGGCAGCTAAGTATACAGGTTCTGGAATCAGAATGCCTGTATTCAAATACCAGTCCTTGCATACTCTTTGTTTTTGGACAAGTCTCTTTATCTCCCTAGAACTGTTTGACCTGTAACAGAGTTATACCTATTTAATGTGGCTAACGGGAGAGTAAAATTGGCACAATGCCAGGCGCACACAGGAAGCACACCATAATGTCATTCTCTAATCATGAACGTCAGGGGGTGGGCTTCGAGCCCAGTTTCTGCATCTATGAGCCACCCTTTACCAGCTCAGGATTCCAAAATCTACTCTCCACTGCTGTGTCTTAGAAGCGAAATAACAGTTCCTCATAACGTCATATCCAGGCCTCAAGAATGAATCTGAGGTGGCAAAAGGTGCTATATGACACCTAATGGAATGTTAGCTGCCACGAGGAGGTGAGCCTAAGGGCTCAGGGAAAGGCCCGGCTGGTGAGTGCCATCTGCCACAGGCCCTGGGCGGGAAGGACACCCTGTGCTGAGCACCCCCAGCCTTTACCAGAGAGGGCATCTGAAGTAGCGGGCGTGTCCAGTTTCATGAAGGCTGCTTCGATAGCTTGGCTGAAGGAATTCTGGAAACTGGGCACAGGAACACGGTCCGAGTTATCACTCTCCCCATCACTGTCCACGGTGGCAGGAGGGACTAAGCTATTTTCATCTAAAAAACAACCAGTGTTACAATTCTAGGAACTCTAGAGACTTATATCTTCTGCAAAGGGAAAAACCGCCCTTCACCAGGAGGGCCATCCTCACCTTTCTTTGGAATAGTTTTGGGCCACACATCTGCTTTTGCTTTTCCAACTCTCAGCATCTGCCAAAGTGGGAAAGGGGGGGGGGGGGGGAAGAAATCTAATGATTTGCTGAATAATGAGAACACTGATTCTCCCTCAACTACTCTTAGCCTCTCTCCTTGGTACGTCTACAATAATATCTGAGACTAAATCTATGAACTTCCCTCTTAAAGCCTTCTGTGGACAGAACACAGACTCAGAACCTAGACACAGAACCTAGAGACAGAACATGGCAAAAGATCCTGGACAGAAACTGGCAACAGAACCTAGAGACAGAACCTAGCGAGAGAACCTGGCTGAAGATCCTAGAGACAGAACCTGGATAGAACATGGCAAGAGAACCTGACTAGAACCTGGTGACTGAACCTGGCTGGAGAACCTGGCAAGAGAACATGGCAAGAGAACATGGACACAGAACCTGGCTGGAGATCCTAACCAGAACTTCGCTGGAGATCCTGACTAGAACTTGGCTAGAGATCCTGGCTAGGCTGCTGATCAACCGAACGCTGTCTCCGTGTCATTCCTTCTTCGCCGACTCTGTCTACACCTTTGGGAACCCCTGGACCTGCTGGGGTTGGACCCCAGCATACAGCCAGGGTTTAGATGTGGCAGAGCCAGGTCAAGAAGCAAAACCAGCCTAGTTCCTAGGCCCCGTCTTCCTGACAGGCCCATGAATTATTCATTCTGACTTTGGACTAGAGAAACACTGATACATACATTCACATTCATGTTCAAAAACTGATGTCCTCCAGCCAAAGGCCTATTTGGCTGTTTGCGTGGACAGTTTCCCTTTGCAATGGCTCTGATCTAGAAAGTCTGCGTCAAGTGAACCACTAGGTTAGTGTTTCTGACTTGAGCAATGTGTGAAACTCTGGGATAGAAAATAGAAAATAAAAATGTGCTACTGATTTGAACTACTTTTCAAAGAATGCATCTGTAAAACCTATGAATAGACAATTTTAGTTATAACCTCTTCATACTTATAGTTTTTACATATGCAATGATAGAACCCAGAGCAAATTTTAAAATTATATTAAAACAGAACTATGAAAACCTAAAAAAAAAAAAAAAGAAAGAAAGAAAGCCTTCTGTGATTATCAGAATCAGTGCAACATTAGCCTATGAGCCCCCCCCCGCTCCCCCCAAACAGAGTGGTTTCCAGAAAGAGCAAGCAGTGGAGTTTGTGTTAAATATCCTTGGCTGCTTCCCAAGCACAGGACTTACCTGGGCAAACGAAGGGAAGGGAGAGTCTTCCTCCAGGCTCCCGATGCAGAGTGAAGGACTGCCCTGGCTCGCAGTGGGTGACACAGGGGTCAGCAGAAAGTCTGAAAGGGAACCACACACCTGATTATATGAGTCAAGTTCCAAAGAGCTAGTGTCTTAACAAGAGTGAAGAGATGAACCCTGAATCAGGTATGGATAGTTACCAATCTCAACTCAAAAAGCAAACTTTGACCCAATTTCCACTCTGCCATATTCTCAAAAAGCCAAGAACAAGGCCTTCTATCCATACCAGTGATCAGTAGAGAAATGTTTTGCGTTTACAATAACACTAGAAGGTCTGGCAGAATCTATTCCCACAGTAAAAGACCTTTCCACATCAGCTGACTCTCAAGGACTAGGTTTGGTCTGTCATGACTTGGTTTTATGTAGATGAAAACACTTCAAGGAAAAGCTATAAAATGGAATCAGGTCAGCTTTTATGTTCCAGTCAGCAGATGTCTAAGACTTGGGAATATTCAGTTAGAATCCAAACACACACATCAACAAATCCCGAATAAAGATGCCAGCTTTCTCCTGATACTCCCCCGGGAACAGTCTTCCCCATCCTTTGACCTTAGGTTGAACGTTTCCCACAGATCAGGTCTACCCGCTGCCCTGATCACTACCCGGGGAAGAAGCCTATTCACTCTCCCACTAGCAGGCCCTTCCCCCGCCAGCCAGAGCTGTTCTATTTCTAGGACCATCCAACTGCTCTTGCTCAAATACCTTCAGAAAAACTAGTATGTGAAAACACAATCTTTATATCACATATAACGTGGTTGAAAGTCTGCTGTATTCCTTTGTATAACAGCTCTCTTCTTAAATATGCTCTTCAGAGCATCATGGTCATGTAGCCCTCAAGATCAGCCCAGGTTCTAATCCCAGTCCCAGCCACTAACTAAGGCCCTGCCTTAACCTTAGGCTCCTAATCAATGATAGCCATATCATCAAAGGGTAACCAAGAGTTTTAAATATTATGATCTTGGACATTTTGTTTAAAATACCTGATAGAGAAATAAAATTTAAGTATCACAATATCTGCCAGGTGGATGAAGATCAGAAATGATAGCTCTCTGAAATGATAGCAACTCTTTCTTACGTGTTTAATTTCATAACACAGTAATACATTCTACAGGAGGGAAAAAAATATTTTTTAAAGGCTAAAGGCAATCTCTCAATCCTGGTCTCACTCCCTAGAGTGGAACACGATTACCTGTTTGGAATATAATCACCCCACTATTTTTCTATACACTTAGACATACAAACCCATAACATGTTTTGCGTGTTTTTCTTTAAACCCACAAATGGTATCATGTTCTGTTTGTTCTAAAAGTTCCTTTTATCCTACAGGTCTACCCATTACTTCATGAAGAGAGTTATTTCTTTCTTCCTTAGGTGTAAAGTACAGTGTTTCAAAGTATAAATACTATAATTTAGCCATTTACTTATCAGTACACTTTGTAAACTATTTCACCCCACAAACACACCTGCTATCTATATATATAAAAGGCTAAGATGCTAAATGTGTCTGAATGTCTGACCGGTTGCTATGGTGTGCACTAACTACCCACTAACCACCCACTAACCACCCGGGGCAGACACAGGAGCTGCCATGACCCACACTGGCCATTTACAGAGAAGCGGTACCATGGACCTGGCGCCAACAATGCGACACTTGGCTTCCCCCAAGTGGGACATAGGTCCTGCCACCACCCCAGAGTGACTGCCCATCAAATCGCAGCCAACACTGCCGAGACCCCATG